ACTGCCATAATAATTTGTCATATTTAATTTTCAAAGTTATTGCTGGATATTTAAATTTTATGTATAATAATAAAATAGAGAGTAAAATATATATGTTGAAATTTATAAAAAAAACTGGACTAATGGTTATTTTGCAGATCTCTTATCTTCCTTACTATAATATAAATTTAAGCTTTAGAGAGATTATTAATAATTTGTCGGTAAATGTAAGCCTATAAAAACTTTATATTATATAGATTTTAATATGTTAATTTCAGATTTTAGAAAATAGCAACGTTTTAAAATAACGCTGATCCATTTAAATTTACAATTATCAAGAAAACATTAAAAAAATTATATAAGAAAGATTTTTATAATGCTTAAAATGAAATTTAAAAGCTTGAAAGGAGTCTTGACGAATTATATCAAGATAATAAATTAGAAAAAAAGACAAATTTTTAGGATTAGTTTTGTTAAATGGGCCCGATTTGGGTAAATTTTTAAAACGACTCAATTATAATATTAGAATAATAATAATAATACTATGGGTTTGGACCTCTATTTGGCAAATCTTGAGGTTATATTATTTCCTTTTTAAAAATCTGCCACAAACCGTTTAACAACACTATTTAGGAATAATATATATATAGCATTTATTGATAAATCAATAATCAATTGAAAAACGATTTGCTAGGATGAAATATATTGAAAATGCAGTTATTAGTTTAAATCCACTGATCAGTAGAATTTTTTAAAAATAAATTATTTTAAATCAAATTTTTTTATACATTAATAAGCTGAGACTAATCATTTCCAAGTAGACTTTAATCATTCCGAAGAACATTTTAAATTAGAAGATAATCTATTATTATTTTTTATAATAATTCATCTAGCTGCTAGTGCTTATAATATTATCAGATCAAGTTTTTCTTGTTTATAATTTTTAACAACATCGGGAGAAGAAGATTTAACAAGATTGTAGTCATAAGTTACCAAAAAACAATCTCAACAGTTCAAATTCACGATATGATTACGGTTAATTTATGAATTGTCAGCATAAAACAAAAAATAGCTTAATCGATGTTTAAAGTTATTATAATCAATATTTTATATGGCGGTCAACAGAAGTAGAATATATAGCCCAAATCATAAATTACTTTTATTTATTCGCTTCTATAAGAAAACTTTAAACGGCCCGTTATAATTAGGGGTAATCAGGATTTACCTTTTTTTGATGATGGATAAATCAGAAATTAGTCTATCTTATGAGTGTGAATCTGAAACATATTAATTTACATGGAAATATATTATAAAACAGAAATTATTTTTAGCATAATTATAAAAATTAAATTTTTTTAAAAGGTGTAAAGGTAGTAGGTAGAGGACTTTCCAAAACTTTCGAGCTTAACAATACAATAATCCAAAGATTGATTCGAGGAATGCCTTATACAATTTTGATGAATGTCGTTTCTAAACTTGGCAGTTTTGATTACAATAAAACCGTTAGAATTTTACGAAATTTACACTCTTATCAAATAAACTTAGATAAGCAGATAGATAGACAGCTTAAAAAAAAGAAAGAAGGAAAGAAAGAATAATATATTAGGAAATTAAAAAAATAAAGGATTAAAGATAAAAGGAAATAAATTTAAAAAATTGCATGAATTTTTATTTCAAGGTCAATAATAAGAATATAATTAGATTTAAATTTCCATGCGATTTCAACTCTTACAACATTTCTTTCTATTTGGCGTGCTCTAACTTTATGGATTTGTCTCTAATAGCATTCACCTATTTGAGATTCGGTAATTGTTTACAAATATTAAAAATTATTGATATAAAGTTTTAAATTATAACGTTTTTCAACATTAATTATTTCAATCACATTATTTATTTGGTAATTAGTTGAGCCTATTACTATTAGCCCACTATGTAACTTTTGATACTTTTTACGCCACTTTATAAATAAAATAACTTAAATTACTGTACTATATTATTTCTGAGTGAGAATTTTAATCTTTTTTAATTTACGTCAAATTTACAATAACTGATAATTTTTAAAAAGAAAGAGCGATTTTATCAGCCTAATACCTTGGTCCTTGTCTTCCAGTTGAGGATTTCACATGTATTAAATAAAGGGCAAGAGGGTGCAGATGAGTCTTAGCAATTAGTTCAGCAGAAATCTTGAGAATAAAAACACTCTTGGTGTTTTGGTGAGGATTTTATTAAATTCACATTATTAGTGAGAAAATAAAACATATAAGTGACTAGATATCTTAATAAGGCCATCTCTTTTATAAATGTCATTACAATGGCTATTCATCCAAATAATTGCATTGCTATTTATAATTATTGTTTTTTTTTAATTTAATTTTTTTTTTATTATGCAGATTTTTTTTAAAATTTTTATATATTGCCCTATATTTTTTTATGATAGATATAAGTTAAAACCTAAAATAACTCTTGATAATTAATTTATTCAAATAAATAAATTAAATAATTTTTTATTATGTGGAAAATAAACATTTTATCTTTTTCTAAGTTTTAAAAATTAAAGTATTATTAAAAAAAACATAATAGTACGGCCATAACGATAACATTACATCGAATTAGGATAGAATATAATCGATACAATATCGCTGTTTTAAAGACTTTGAAAATAGAGATACTCTCAAAAAGATAGTGCGTTGAATGTTATTTCTATAAAAATGATCCCGTCATTTTCTTTCCACTCAAAGAAAAGAAAGTAAAAAGAAAGAATGAACATAAGAAAGATAAGAATTCTACTATGGCTTAATAAATTTGGTTTGGCGATAAAATTGCCTATTTTTATAAATATATATTATTTATAAAAATAACAAGAAAATATATTTTGTAGCAAAAATTGAAAAGAAATAAAAGAAAGCTAACGTTTTCCAATATTATCTACGAGAGCTCTATCTAATCTTTATTTGGCTTTAAATTATTCATACTGATATTTTTGAGCTTCATCATTATTGACAAATTGTTTCATTTTTATTTATAAACAATTGAATTTTGATAAAGTAGAAACTATAGAATATATTTCGAAAAATAAAACAATCCATTAATTTTTTTTAAATTTCATCTCATAACGTAATAAATTATAATAATATAATTATTTTTTATAGAAATTTAGATTAAAATTTTGTAATTTATAAAAACTTAATATATTAGTATAATACATTCATATAATATTAAAATTAAAATTTTATATGATATTAATATGAATTTATTTATATTATATATATAAACCTATATTTTTAGATTACAGTATATCAAAAATTGGTAATCTATTTTATTTAATTTTTACATTTTTTAATATTTTTTATTATTCATTTCTTTCCTACCCTGTTTAAATATTCTAATTATAAATATGCAGTGAAAACCTCTAAATCACTTTAATGTTAGACTTATAAAGTTTATTATATGGATGTTCTTTTGCGATATAATTATTTAATTTTCATTATAATTTATAAATTTAAATAAATAATTTAATATATTAAACATAATTATTTACATAATTTATGAAAGTAAAATTTCTTAAATTTGGAATGAAAATTTAAAAAAGCCTCAGAATTTAGGTCCATAATTATAACTGTAAGGATATAATATATAAAATATATTAATCGAAATCTTCAAATCAATGATTCGAACAAAGTGTTCTCATAACTCACTTCTAAAAAGTAACTATTTAAAGTTACAATACATCCATGAAAGAAAACTAGTTACATTTTACAAAAGTTATGTTTAAAAAGTAATGAGTTATCTAAAATAATTTTGCTTTGCAATTTTTATTCAGGGATAAAAAACGCATACAATATAATGATTACTAAATATTATCCTGTATAAAAGACAAATATAATTATAAATAATTTAAAAGAAAATTATTTTTTTAATTAACTCCCTTAAATATGTTTTCATCATTGTTTAACCTAGCCCATATATTATTACTAGGGCTGTGAGCCCTAATAAATAAAAGGGAGTTCAGGTTAGGTAAAAAAATATCGAGTTAAAGGATTTGGAGTATACAGAAAAATAAGAATTTACTATAAAATTTATTGGAAAATAATATAAACATAATATTTGGCATATTATTAATTTAATTTGAATTCCCACAATATTTAAATGTTGGTGATAATATTACTCTATGTTATGTTTTTATTTAAAAAGGGAATTTTAAAAAATTATTGTCATACATTTCTTAAAAATCTTTGATACACCCTCAGCTAATTTTTAAGTAAAAGATAACGTTGAAGACCAAGTATCTTATGGGTGGTAAAAAAATGTTAATAATTTATACATAAAATATGATAAAAATGATACCAAAAAAAATTCACGATAAAAATGTATTCAATAATGAAAATAAATAGAAATATAAAAACAATTTCTTTAACCTTAAACTTTAAATTAAATAAAAAGAGTTAGGGTTGGGTTTCAGTTTTAGTTATATCTGTAGGGTTCAAAATATTATCAAAAAAAAAATTATTTGCACGGCCAAACAATATATTGGGGCAATGTTTCTAGATCCTAGTCCTGCTAAAAAAATTTAAAATAAAAAATATAATTAAAAACATTTAAAAGTTAAATAAAATAAAAATTATTTAGGAATTTAGCCCTAATTAACAATAAACTCTTTTCAAAATTTGTGTTTAATTTTATTTTTAGTTTATTCTCGAATAAATAAGATTTCCTAAAATAGATATTTTGTTTGACACTTGATGTAAATAGAACATAACATTTATAACAGTAATTTTAAATTTAATAATTAGTAATTTTTAATTTTGTAAGTCATAATTAGATAATTAGATATAAATACTTTAATATATTTTAAAAAGTAACTTAATAACTAGTTACCTTTTTCGTTATAATTCATAAATATTATTCTTCCATTTAAATAAAATTAATAAATAAATCAAGCCATATATCATGCATTAAATTAAACAAAAATAAAATATTAAAACCTATTTCATTTTATTAAGAAGTTATGTGTAATGCCCATAATTCACAATTTTCTAGAGAAATATTTAGATAAAATTTTTAATGAGAATAAATGTAAATGTTCTTTTATTATAAAAACTCTATTCATACCTAACTTTCATGTAGCAAGGATTAGTTATCACAAAGAAACTCCATCTCTTGTACATTTCAATTTCTCGGTACGTTTCAATCACATGGTCCAAAGCTTCAGGATGAAGCTATTAGCAATTACAACAAACAATGAAACAAGGGAATTAGAAGAATTTAAAGAAGTAAAATAAATACATGACATAAAAGTCTTCTAATAAGGATAATTTAAAAATATTTTTGAAATCGAATTAAATTTATAAATTGTTACCTTGCTTTCTCACCATATAAAATCACATTTTTAAAAGATAATGAACCATTATTATTTTGATATGGAAAGTGAATATGACCTTATTCATATTAACCACAATATAGATCCTCATTTCTCACTGATAATTTAGTTTCGATTTCAATTTTTCAAATAGAGAAAATTTTATAGGAATTCGAGTTAATTTAAAAATAAATTACAATCAGTATTATATATCTGCAATAAAAGGGCAATCATCTGATACTACAATTAAAATATGTTATTTAGATTAATATTATTAATTCTTATATATAGCTTCAATCTTAACCTCTTTACATGATAAGATTCTGTTATTTTTAACCAAAATTATAACCTTCATTTAGGTGGCACATCAATAGACCAAATATTTTTTTGAAAGTTTTATTTGTAAACATTTAATTTACATTGAATTCTATGGATAAATTGCATTTCAATCCATTATAATTTAATTTTTAATAATATTTAAATGATATAATAAAAACAATTATATAAGACTATTATAGCAAAAAGGTAAAATTAATAGCAAATAATTAAAATTAAATATAAATGAACACTTACAATAACAAATGAACTAAATTTAAGAATTAATAAGAAACTAAATAGCAAATGATATTAATAAAATAAAGAATAAATGGGAAAATGTAATAGTTTTGATTATATAAATTGTGAAGTAATTAAATTTTAATTTTCCTAGGAATAAGGGTTAAATTATTTTAAAATAAAGTGTAATTGCTGAGATAATTAATCGTATATCCATGCAAAAAAAATCTAGCACTAAAACCTTTGTGTCTATTGACTTTTGAAATTTTTTTCCAAAGAATTAACCTTTTATGAATTATTTTTTGTTAATGCACCATTTAAATTTTATCAATGAGAATTTATTTATTCTAACTCAAAAATTTTAAAAATTAGTAAATGCAATATATTTAGTTGCAACTGAGATGCGAAGTTTGTATTGATTTATAGATTGGATTGCTTTAAAATTAATTTTCAAACTTCATATTGTATTTAGAGAATTATTAAATGTGCTCAATCGTTGTTATATTTGGACATTTGCAATTAAATTTGCTAATTTTTTTAAATAATGGCCCATTTGCAATTAAATCTGCTCGTTAGCATTTTACTCATTAGCAATTAGTTTTCCCCTTATTTCTCGTTAAAGCAGGGGCTATTCAGAATTTAGAATTATAAATAATATGGGTTCAGATAAAATATAACGGTTCATATTAATATGATATCGGTTTGTTTGAATCTTTAATATCTGTTTAACCCTTAAACATACAAATTAATGAATAATAGAAATGTATTAATTATTTAATACATATTTTCTTTAGCAATAGTTCGTGCTTGAAAATTTATTCTTTATTACTCTAATATTAAATTTTCAATTATTCTAAATATCTTTAAAAAATTATAATATCTTGTATGAAAATCATTTTAAATAAATAATAATTTAAAATAAAAATAATAAAATTTTAAATTGAATACTTTAACATCTCCCTATATTTCATATATAACAAATTTAAAAGTCAAAAATATAATCTAATAAAAAAAATTTACTAAAATTATTTCGACTTAAGAAAAAAAATTAAACCTAAAAATTAAAAGTAAAAAATCTTAAAAAATTTAGAAAAGATTATGGAAAAATGAGAATTGAAGAAAAGGAAACAATGAAATTACTTCAAAGAGAAGAGAAATATTAAGAAAAAATGAGAATTATAAATTAAAAATGACTTAAAGAGATCTCAATTCTCAAAAGGTTAGAAATAGGAAAATTTCAAATAACCAAAAATTAAAAAAAAATGATATATATTTAAAATGGTTATAAAAATGACAAATATTTATATAAAATATATAAAAAAACACAATTTTCTTTCATTACATGGGAATTTTTCTTTTTTGATAGCCTCCACCTAGCATTTTTCCTTATTTGATTGACACTTTCCTTTTTTGATTGAAACTTTTCCTTTTTTGATTGAAATTTTTTTTTGATCGATCATTTTGCTTTTTAAATCGTGGATTTTCTTTTTTCTTATGGGGAAAACTGTTAGGCTTAGTCTGTTAACTTAGTTGTATTATATTTTTGGTTATTAACTAAATTATTTTTGTTTGTTTCCTTATTATAAAGTTAACGAATTTACCGTTGATATATAATTTCGTGTCAAAGGGTATATACAAGCTGAGTTTCCAGTTTAAGATATGCGAAATGTGGTTCGACACTATTAAAACTATTAAACACGTCAAAATTGGTATTAATTTTTTACATTATCAAAAAGATTTTGAATTTATTTTGATTTTTATAGAAAGCATCATATTGCTAATATTTTATTTCATAATTCGGTCCTATTTTACACATTATTTTTGTCTTTTAAAACTTAAAGAAAAGAATTTTAATCAATTGGAATGGATAACTTCTTTGAATCATAGGGTTTATAAAATGGAAAAAAATTGTGGTTTTTTTATTGAAAACATTAATTAAATTTTAAAAAACTAAGATAAAATAAGATCTATAATTTGATAAACTATCTATTTATTTAGTTGGAAATAATAAAATATTTCCTTTTTGATTTTCTCATATCTATTTTCATTATTAAAAAATATATATTAATAATTATCAGTTAAACTATATGTTTTTTAATTATAAAAAATAATTTGTCTAGATGATAGACCTCTCAATAAATATTATGGTAAACTCTTCTTCTTTTTTTAAATTTATTTTCAAAAAATTATAAGCTATTAACCCTTGAATTATTTTTAAGTTAGAAAGAAAGAAAGAAAGAAAAAAAGAATTTTTCAATTTTCTGTAGAAGTATTGATTTTGCTTTAACTTTAAGGTTAGTCAGAAACCATCTTGTCAGGTTTCCTAAACAATTAAATTATTTTTAGTGAAAGAAATACCGTTTTTATTTCTTAAACATGATATTTATAAAATAAATTTGGTAATTAATTTTAAAATTATAACTACAAAAATTAAAAAAGAATTTCTATTTAATAAACTCTTAGGAGATATAAAATTCTCAAATTTTAGTATAGGTAATCCATAAAATAACCAAAAATATTTAAAAATTAATTTATATTTTATGATAGCCAAATATTTTTCTAAAAAAATATTGAGTTCGCCATTTTTAAAAATCAGCCCAAATCGAGACGTTACTAAGCAAGTCTCGCTATAACTAGATTTTCTTATCATCATAAACCCCATATGGTTTATTTAACATCATCATTATAAGAGAGGGTTCAATTCAAACTTTACTATAAAAATTAAATTGTATATTAATAATTATATAAACTATAATCTTGTATTGTAGAAATTTTCCAAAGTTGAAAAAATTTTTAATTAATTATTTTAAAATATTTTTGGTGTATAGATGCATTTTAATAAAATCAATATTATGATAAAATTAAAATATTTTAATACCTTTAAATAAAAAATAGTTTTAAATCATACCAAACGATAGATAATCCCGATTTCCCCTGCTGGTAATACACAGATTATTTAAAATATTTAAATATGTTTACATAATTGATATATTTTGATTTATAATATTTAGTTCAAAATAAATATTAAAACTAGCTTAAATTATTTTAGTATATTAATTCTATATAAAAAATGAAACTAATAAATAACATTTTGACTTCTTTATTAATAATTTTACTAAGTTTTTTGGTCTGGGTAATAGCAACGTAGAAGTGATATCTTTTCCAATAAAATATTTTGAGATATATAAATGGTAGCCAAAAGATTGACGTTGGGATGGTGCATTTGGATCAATGCAGGTAAAGTCCAATACTAAGAGCTGACCTCTTGACCCAAGAATTTAGGACATTGGGCGTTTTTTATCAGTTTTAAATAAACCGGGTTTCTAGAAGGAATGTCTGCGGATTTAAGTTCATGCAAAATGAGTCGTTACATTTGTGACGTGGGAAACGGCCTCGACAAAAGCGGCAATGTCTACCCTTGCTATCAACGCTGGTTTTACAGTTTATACATTGGTACGGTAGAACAATTTCATAATTTACCTTAATTCTAATAGCAAATCTAAATTTATCAACGGAAAGAAACTAATAGATTTTGTTGGTGGGTATATTTCCAGAAGCTGAAAAACTGTGAGATAGTCATCGTGAAAGCTCGATTTTAAATTAGCAACCAAGCCTTCATTGAGTGAAATATCCCAATCTTTCAGAGAACACGAGGAGGGTCATGGCGTGTTTTGACAACAGAATTGTCCTAGATGGTCTTTACCTCGGCCAACAAGAAGTCAGAAACGGAAGAAAGCTGGCGAATTTTGGATGAGATGAGAGACGGGAAGCAGTGAATCCACTGATAGAAAGGGTTAGTAATAAATTAACCCGATATCTCCAAGCTTGCATGGAAGTGAGGCTTATAGCCATAAATTATGAATAAAGCGGAGATAAAGGATCTCTTCTGCATGATATTTGACGGAAGTTTCAAATGATATATAATGTAACAAGAAATTTAAAAATTTAGAGTGTAAAAAATTTTTAGAATTTAATAATTGAACAGAAAAAAAGCTTAATGAGGAGGGTGATGCTTGGAGATAGTTTTAAAATGAAGTAAGCTAGAGGATCTAGAGGATGCGTTAGTGAAGAAGTGATTGATGGATTCATTTTTGATATTATTTATACTGTTTTTTATTTCTAAATTGAAACCATTTTTAAAATAAAACTATTGATATTATTAGAAAACAAGACTAATGTGTTATTATCTGAGCATTTATACTTAAATCTTAATCTGAATATTACGTTATATCGTAAAAATTGCTATTTTTTATTAGAAATTTAGTTTTTTTTTCTAGCATTAAATAAAGAATTCTGAGAATTCATTATTTATCTCTCAGCGTTCAATATTTATATTGTATTTAAGGATTTTACTTTGATCAAATAGGAGCTATACATTATATATCAATTCAAATAATCAAATTTTACATTTTAATTCTATGGCAACACTGAATGTATTTGTATAATTAATAAAATTTTAAATTTAAATTGTGGAATGATAAGTGTGAGTTAATATAGATATTTGAGAGTAGGTATCTTTTACTTCTTCTGCAATTAATTTTCTAGATATATTTTCAAAATAATTTAAAATATTTTAATTAAAATATAGCATAGTTTCTATTATTATTAATAGATTCCAATTCCATAATATTCGCCAATATATCGACTTACAAAACTAAACCAAGCTTAGTCATAATGGTCTTTCCAAAAAGTTTAAAAGGTATGATTTTAAATGTCATCATTTATTTCTAAAAAAAATTAATTATTTTACAGCTAAAATATTAACTAATTTTTTAATGTTTAAACGAAAGTGGTCAGATAATACTTTATCAAATTTCATTAATAAATCCAATAAACCTAAAAAAATTTCATTTTTTTATTGGTTGAGGTTTTCTATGCTTTCTAAAAAAGATTCATTTTTGGCCTAATTGAATCATTTCGATGATTCCATTCAAAACTGCACATCATCTATTGTTAGTTTCTATTAGTTTAATTTTTGCCAATACAATTTTCTAGCTCAATCTATTGATGCAGGTAATATACATGTTTTTGAGAGATGATACTTTACGCGATCTGCAAAATGTTTCCAATCATTATAGCCTTCGTTTGAGAATTTGTTTATCTAATTTGAAAAAAATTTATAACAAAAACTATATATTGCATTTCTTTATCGAGTAAATTAGCCCAAGACGATCGATTAATTTTTCGCATATGGAATGAAGCTAAAAATGTTTACTATTTTGGTTTATTGGAAAACTAAGATTCTCGATTAATCTTTTCTACTAAAAAACATTGGTATATTATCACATATCTAGATTGGGCATATCGATATCGTCCAAGCTTATGTTAAATTTTTAGAGAAACTTATATTAATTATCTTTTTTGGGGGGTTCCACTATACCTTGAGGGCGAGATATACCAGCGGCGACTTCTGCAAGATCATGATGAGAATAAAAAATATATGAACCAGTGACTTCTGGGGGATCTTCATGATTTATTAATATTAATGTGCTTTATTATCGAGATGGATATCGAGTATTTTTGACATTTCACTTGTGGTGCATGATGTCTCATTTTTATTTTTAAAGTGCTGTAATATATGCCCTATTTGAGAATTGATAAATGTTGCTTCTTTTTATTTTGTTTCTTAGCACTGTAATCAAATTTGCCTCCCCCATTTTGAAAACTCCTTGATTATGAAATAAAATGATATTTTACAAAACAAATAATAATGCCTTGTATGTTATTTATAAAAAAATTTTTTTACAAAATTTGGCTCTCTCTAGAATTGTCTAATTTTGGGGATCAGAACATCTATCCCGCTCGCTCCCCAGATTGCACGAACATAAATGCAAGATCAAATTTACAAATTGTATATTATATATATATAATTTCAAATCCTTATTAATGCAAAATAAAAAAAAGAAATATAATTCTGATATTCAATTAGCTATATTTGGTTATTGGGCTATGATAGTTTCCTACATACAGAGATATTGATATACACGTTTTAATTGTATATATTCTCTTAATCCTACCCTTTACCTCATTTTTTAAAAATTAATAATTTGCATACTTTAAAAAAAAAATCTTAATGAGTTGAGTCAATTTGGTTCGATTCAGATAAAAAAACTTCTAAGATATTACTTTAAAAATTCATTAAAAATAAAATAAATATATAATTTTTTTTATATTTTATTTGATCCTTTATTCTACCAATTATCGATTTCGTCAATTATATTTTTTTTAAATGGAAATAATCAGAAGTCTAAATCGGAATATATTTATGAAGATATTGAGATATTAAAGATTTAACAATAATAATATTATTATAATGGGTGCGAATTATTCTAGTGTCTATGCTAGGATAGTACTATAATAATTACTAATTTTATTTTTACGACACGTATTCCTAAAATTTTTAAGTAGACTGCCGCAATGTTTTAATAATTTTTTATAGTTTAGTTCCATGAAAAAAAATCTGTATTTTTACTTACCATTTTGTAATTGCTACATGAAGCTCAAAAACATTTCAATTTATTAAGCTTAATTAGGATTCCGTGTATATCTTAGAAATTTTATTTGAAAAGTTAAAATTTTTTTATAAGTTAATATTTAATAAAATTGTATTCAATTTATTTGTTAAAATTAATGAATTAAAATAGTTAAAAATTTTTGTTATTATTAATCTACTAACAAAAGACACGATTTTTTGAGATTATACTTCAAAATAATTATGTAAAAATCTTATACCTTTTAAAAATTTTGTATTTATTACTACTAATTTTTTGGAGTGTTTAAAAAAATTATTTTTATAGTTTTAGTTGTAAAATTTTGAAACTATTGAATATTTTTTGAAAACAATTATTGGTAGTTAATACACAGTTTTTTTTATGTAATTTAAATAAGTATTAAATATCTCTTTTAAAGACTAATAAAAAAATTAAAAAGAATGGATATAAGTAAAATTAATACTTTATTTAATTTACTATTTTATAACAAGCGATAGGAGAAGTTGTTTGAGGTAAGAATATTTATTATAAAAAATTTGAATTATATTTTAATGAAAATATATGTTGTAATTTAAAAAAGATTATCAGAACTATATTGGATTATAGCAAGGGTTTTTATAGGTCTTAAAAAAGTTTAGAGGTTATATAATTAAAAAATTTTAAAAAAATTTGCCAATAAGAATTTTCAAAATTTATTGTTTTATTTATTCATCTTTTTTATGAATGAGACTAATAATAATAAGATATGTGAAAAGAGGACAATTTTCATTTAGCTAAATATTATTAACTTTTTTTCAAATGTTTACAATATTTTTGATAAATTTTGAAATAAAAATAAATCTAAGATTAATTTAGTGAAAGATCCATAAGTTAAATATTTTTAGAGGAGTTATGATATTTAGAATCTAATATTGTCCCAAATTTAACTTATTACTGTTATCAAAAAGCCTGATTCAGGTCGATTTTTAAAAATATCATTATGATTATAACAAATATAATATGATGCAAATCTAGGTCAGCAGTATCACTAAGGAAAGGGGCGTATGGGGCTTGAGCCGACTGAAAAATATGAAGAGCCCTCTGATCCCTGGAGGCAATTATGATTGGAATATTTGCCAAATCTGGCCTTTTACTTAATATTATCTAGTTTAAAATTGTGATTTAGTCGGTTATAAAATTCGACCTAAATCGGGCATTTTAAAAACAGTACCATCTAACCAACAGATTGAGTTTTTAAAATACATTATTTAACATATAGACCGAAGTAGATACTAATAATTATTTTGAAAATGTATCATCATTTATAGATTCCTAAAATCATTAATACTAAGAAAAAATCTCTTAGCTTAATGACTAGTTTAAGACGTTTATATAAATTTCTGAGAAAATATATCTCAGCGCTTCACTTAAAAGATTAATATTACTGAGCCATTCAGTTTTCTTACTAAAAGATTAATATTTTCTGAGCAATTTAGTTTGAATCTGAGCATTTAGAATTGATTCTTATAATTTAGTATATTTTAAGAGCAATAAATATTTTACTAAGCGTTAAATATTTATTTTTAGCGTTAAAGGATATCTTTTTTTTGAACATTTTAGCTTTATTTCTAGTCCACCATATTGGAGCCTATTAAATTTTGAGTAATTGGGAATATTATAATTTAATTTCTTCTACCAGAGGCTTGGCTAATATTCAGCTTTTCATCAAGGAATAAAATAAAATTATAATTTCTGAATAATTTTGAAGATATTTTTTACAAAATCTGGGTCAGGGAGTGGATACAATTAATGAAATTACATTATTTACTGCTCATATCTTATATATTCCCCATTCTCATAAGATCAAGTCTAACATACAAGATATGTTTATTATCATTATAGTCAAAAGATTTAATTAGCTTTTATTATATACCCATATTAAATAATTTGGTTATAACAAATTTATAGAGTTCTTGACAGCCTCACCCAACCTCCCACATGACCTAGACCAACACAGTACGAGTGATGATTCATAGACAACAGATATTTATTTCATATCCATATAAAATTAAATTATAACCCCTCCCCCTACCCTTTCTTCGACCACGTTAATATTTCATATCACTCAAGAGATATTTCTTAATATTATGTGATAGAGTATTTCTTTCCCTCCCCACCCACCTAAATACTTATCCTTTAAGAGAGAAAGGTTGACCTTAATTTAAATAGATATTTTGAATGGCTATCTATTGATTCTCTATATAGAACAACATAAGGTTAATAAAAAATAACTCATAAAATATTCAGTAAAAATAATAAATTAAATTAAAAAAACCTGATTTTATGTATACATTAAAAACCCATGATGAACGCTTATAGTTTTGATCTCATTGTAATATGACATATATAAATAAAAGAGAAGAAAATAAAAGAGAAGAAAATAAAAGAGAAGAAAATAAAAGAGAAGAAAATAAAAGAGATGAAAATAAAAGAGAAGAAAATAAAAGAAGAGAAAATAAAAGAGAAGTATATTAAAAACAATAAAAGGAAAAATAGAAAGGAATAAAACTATTAATGATAAAACCTATATAATATTTCCTCATCTTTTTGCGTTTTTTCAAATTTATAAATTAAATTAATTTTCAGAATAATTTTAATAGCAATTCTTCTATTAAATCGTAGAGGAAGTTCCAGGTAGTAGATATTTTATTTACATATCATATTATTATTAAAAATATACTAATTTCTATAATTAAAATAAAATATAATATATCTATTAACAAAAAAACACAATTATTTGAGATTACTTCAAATAAATTATTTAAAGTCATGTCGCTCGAAATTCTCTAATTTCTTTTTAGGTTATATGCCTGTCCTTTTATTCTTAATAGGTTCATTTAGTTGCTTTGCTTCATCATAATTTTAACTTATTTTTTAAGTCATTCTTTTAATAATAAACATTTCGCTCCAATCATCCATTTTTACTTAATTTAAATCAACTTTATATATAGTATCTTATACCTTTTAAAAATATTGTGTCTATTACCACTATTTATATGGTATTAGTGTTTTAAAAAAAATATAAAGTTAATAGTCATAAAATTTAGAAATTTGAATATTTTTGGAAAACAATTAGTGGTTGTTAATAAAAAAAATTTTTATATAATTTTTCTTTTAAATGACCAACCCTTTTTTAGAATTTAAAAAATTAAAAAGAATTGATATAATTAAAATTTGTTATTTTTTTAATTTACGATTTTATAACAAGCGATAGGAGAAGTTATTCCAGGTAAGAATATTTATTATAAACAAATTAAATTATATATGTCATAATTACAAAAAGATTATCAGAACTATATTGGATCATAACACTAGTTTTTATAGGTATTAAAAATAGGGCTATTTTAAAAAAAAAATAGCCAATATGAATTTTCAAAATTTATTGTTTAATTTATACTATGAAATGGACCAATAATAATAAAATATGTTAATAAAGGAAAAATATATATGTAGACATATATTATTATTTTTTTTTAAATGTTGAACATATTTTTGATAAATTTTGAAATAAAAATAAATCTAAGATTAATTTAGTAAAAAAATCATAATCTAAAATATTTTTAGAGGAGTTATAATATTTAGAATGTAATTTTGTCATATTTAACTAATTAGTGTAAAAGCCCGATTCGGGTCGATTTTTAATAATGTCTCGTTTATGATTATAACAAATATCATATGATCTTAATCTGGAGACTCTGCTAATAGATGTCAGCAGTACTGTCATTATAGGGTGCAGACCTGAACTCACTGAAAAATAAGAAGAGTCTTTTGATTCCTGTAGGCAGAAATGTTTGGATATCTATTTGCCAAATCTGGTCTTTTATTATTATTTTGTCAAAAATCGTTATTTAGCCCGTTAAAAAATTACTAATATTAATTTATTAAATGTATCATCATTTATAGATTCCTGTAATCATAAATATTAAGAAAAATTCTTTTAGCTAAATGACTATTTTAGACATCTCATATATTTTACTGAGAAAATCATTTTTTAATCTCAGCGCTTCAGTTAAATATTTAAAAGATTAATATTTTTTCTGAGCAATTCAGTTTTATATCTAAAAGATTATTATTTTTCTGAGCAATTCATTTATTTAAGCATTGAAAAGGGATTCTTCTTTAGTATTCTAAGCAATAAATATTTTATTAAGTGTTAAACATTTATTCTCAAGATTAAAGGTTATCTTGTTTAACATATATTCTTAAGGTAAATAAAATATATCAGTAAAATAATTAATTAATTACTTAAATAAAAAAAGCCTGATTTAAATATTTAAAAAACCAATGATGAACTCTTAGTTTTGATCTCATTGAAATATGACATATATAAAATAAATAAAAGAGAAGAATGAATAAAAGAAGAATGAATAAAAGAAGAATGAATAAAAGAAGAATGAATAAAAGAAGAAATTTAAAAATAACAAAAGGGAA